TGCCTAACGTCACACCTCAATGTGCCTAGTGGCACAACTTTTCCTCAAGCACAAGGCCTAACGGCACTCTCCACTCAGAATCCCCTGTCTATCATCACAACAACAAACAAATATATATATATATATATATATATATATATATATATATATATATATATATATATATATATATATATATATATATATATATATATATATATATATATATATATATATATATATATATATATATATATATATACGGTGCCGATCGGCGGGGTCCTTCTCATAACATGTGTCGTTCGGAATAATACCCTTGTCGGTCGTCACCCTTCATTGCCTTCTCCAATTTCCTTCATTCCCTTGCCCAGTTTCGTTACCGTTTCAGCGTAAACCCAGTATTCAATCCAATTAGCACAACGAATTCAATATACAACATGATACTCAATAAAATTCCTATTACTTTTTCCTATCAATTATTATTATAAGCATGAACAAAATCAAATTGATCATCCAATTTCAACAAAACGCAGCAATGAATCTAATACTCTAAACCCCAATCCTACATACTAACAATCATATTCCCGGTTATAAAATCCGAACCCCACCCTTACCTTTTAGTTTTCTGGCCGGTCGAATTCTTCGGTTGAAATGCAACTGGTTTGACGACAACTTCTCTAAATTTTCTTGCCTCCCACATGGTGCCTCCAAAACCTTGTTTCTTCTACTGCTACGTGATAATTGTTTTTCTTTTGGTTTTTGGCTACTAGCTTCTATATATCATAACCTAATATAATAATAATAGGTCTACTAGTAACTTTAATGGGCCTGTTAATGTTATTCCTAATCTTGCTATTTCACACACCCAACTTGACCCAACTAATAAAATAATATTCTATTAAAATCAACATTATTTCCAATATTAATTTCTCTTAACTAAATTGACTAATTTTATTCGATTATCAATTCTAACAATATATATGTAATCCAATAATGCTCCTTATAATTATTCCGATAATTCCTTCTTTGACTATATTCCAACAATTAAATCCTCAGTAATTCATTTAAATAATTTAATGAATTTCCAGGTGTTACGTCCAGCATATGTGAACAATGGAAAGCTACCTCACAAAAAGGATGGAAACCAAAGTGACTCACAAATGAACAAGTATACAAAAGAATGAATGGCATAAAAATTATAAAAAGTCTAAGTATCATAAATATACTAAAGTATAGAAAGCGATAAACACATACCTCGAACATGTACAAAACTCTAACAAAATCATTACCATGCATTCGCAAGTCGAAACAATCAAACTTGACAAATCACCTTAATATTCTACAAGTTACCGGATCAAAACTTGAGTCCAAACAACAACAAAAAATTTAGAAAAATAATACTCCTACAAAATTTTAATGTACAAAACTTACAAAATTTACAACAAACAAAACTCCTCAAGCTAAACACGACAAGCTTTCGAAAAACACAAATTGACATAACAAAACAAATACAAATAACGATATGAAAACCGAGTGAAAATGAATTAACAAATTGAAAAGTGAAGATTTGAAATTCAGAACATTTCCTTGTTCCAACTTGTTAAAACACAAATCACCACACACATAAACAAATACAAACAAACATGATTGTTTTACGTCGTAAGCTCGACACTTTTATTGTGCAAGCTAGTAACCTTCTCTCGTCATGTCATGGTATTGTCACACCGGGCACACCTAAAGAAAGTGTCCTAACAATCACACAACAAAAATTACGAAAACGAGACAATTCACAACAATACGTGAAAACACATATATGCACAAATATCATATACAAGTTAATATACAATTTCTATACAACATATACATTAATTACAAAACTCAAAAACAAAAGAATTATCGCAATGCAAAAACAATAGAACCGATCCTCGGCAACGACGCAATTTTGTTGTTGCGGTTATAGCGGCAAGCAAAAAGTAAAGTATTATTTTTACCGGGTGATATTTAGGTTATATCGTATCGTGTCCACATAGATTAGTTATTGAATCGTTGTTTGACAAATCATTCATTAATGAGTTTGAGGATAAATGGTATAGAAAAGAAAAGTATCAACATAAAATAAATGTAAACAAAAGAAAAAAACTAAGGAAGAATTTATCAAGCATGCATATAATCTACTCATCAGAGACTTAAATCTACCGACCAGTTACATTCAACCTAACAATACTCATCAATATCACTATGTATCACTCACAACCTAAGTCATTTCTAACCCAAATCGAGAGACCGACTGTATCACCAATGAAATGATCTCTCTACCTCCTTAACAACACAAAAGACAACTATGTAATCGTGCTGACGATCTCTCAGCACAACACAACCATACAGAGGCATTAAGCTTTGATACCCAAGTAGATGTCAGCTCTAAATTTATCTCTAGAGTTCAGAAACTAATAGATAATGATCCTAGATAAGAATCTAAGCAGTATATGTCTATAACAACTCAAATTCCTAGCACAGAGCAAAAATCTAAGACAACAATCTACAAAGATTTGTAAAGCAAGTTTAATATAACGCCATGGGCGACAAATATACATGAGTTCAAAGTAAATATACATATAAAACCCAACAAAATAGAAATACATAGAGAGGAGAAGAGATAAACATCAAATCTTTCGGTTTGTCAGCGCCAGTCAATAAGAAATCCACCTCCAATCATCCATAAACAAAACCCTAGTGTTGTTATATAAGCTAATCCACTATAAAAATAAGGTTGATGGAGTTGGGAGAACAAAAATTACCCCCAAAACCATCACCTCCAAATGAAAAGGAAATATAAAGAAAATTTTGTTCCGCAGGCATCGCGCGACGACACAAACACATCGCCCGATGATGGCTTATATATGCTTGACCCAGACTGCGCCACGTTCTCAACTGAAACAAATATCTAACGTCGCCCCGCGACACACAACTTCGCTGGAAGAATCTCTTTATTTTCTCTTGGCGACCTAGATGCGAAGCAAGGCAGAGGCAACATCAAAATTGGTCTTCTCGCCCACTGTCGTCTGGCGACAAGAATTTTGCCTGGCGACACATGACAGTTCAACAACTTTTGTTACTTCCACTGCATAACTTCACTTGGCCTTATTTTTTTATTGATCCAAAAATGCATCTTGAAACTTTTATTCCTCATTGCTCCAACCAGGCTCAAATACCTACAAAACATATACAAAACTAATCAAACGATACAATATATACATAAAATGAAATTAAACGTATTTACAATAAAAGTAAAGTTATTCAATCGATATTAACAACAAAGAATCGATAAGTGCAATAAAAAATATATATAAAATAACTACACTTTTATACTTATTAGTTAGGATGTCACAAACTCCATTGAACGCCTGTGCAAAAGATTTCGGGACATTCGAAAAAGGTGGTTAAGAGATAAGTTGAATAGAAACTAGTTGTGAAGATAAGCATACCCACAAAATATGGAAAGGATCCATAGGAAAATTAATGAAAGCTTAGAAGAGAGCATTTGGGGACAATGAACAATGAAAGGGATTCAAAGCTATCATGTTTTTCTCCAGTGATGATATGTAGTAGCAACTATTTCCACGAATAAGTATTAATACATTGATAAAATTCACACCCACAAAATTTGTGTGACAGTTGAAGAAGTGAACAAGACATAGTTGATTTATTTTGTTGGCCTTTATATAAGTATTACAAATATTAAACACGCAACTATCATTATCGACAACAGTTTTACCTAAACTCCTAAACAACTTGTTCATGTCTGTCTCTATTCTCTAATCACATTTCTTTTGCTGTTTTCTATGTCTATGTCTATGTGTCGCACTATCATTTACTACTACTATAGTTTCATTCTTCATTCCAACATTTTTTATATATAAATTAACTCTTCACACCATTCATCCACTGTCACACAAAAAACACTCTCTGCACCTTCTCTTTCTTCTTCTTACCTCTCCTTTTCATACCCTTTAAATATCATATTCCATTACTTCTTCTCTTTCTTTCTTTCTTTCTCTCTATCTCGTTTATCATAGAATCTTCATTATTCTTGTTCCTCACTTTAATGTAACTGCAAGTTCATTTTCTTTGTTTTGCTTCCACTAGTTCCTGTTCCTGTTCCTTTTTGAAGTCTCTTTGCAGAAAGATGTAATTTTGATTTTAGATTCGAGTACCCTTTTGCTTTTCAATTAATGTCTGAATCCTCAAAAGTGTTTTAAACGAATCCCAACATGGTCTCAGTCATGGAATCTCGTTAATCTAGCTGCATCTTTGAATGTTCTGTTCTGTTTATGAATATTCTTTTTAGAGCTTTTATACTACAGAAAATGCAGCTTCTGATTATGGGTTTTCGTTAATTTTTATTGTATTGCCCTCCATAGCTACAAATTCATAATTTTTATTTGATTAACTAATTCACTTTGAATTTCAGTTTGTGAGAAAGTGTAACATGTAACTAGTTTCTAGGTGTAAATTTTGTTTCTTTTGATAGCATATGGAGGGTTTTTATTCTAATCTAGAACAAGGGTAGTTTTGGATCTTGGTTTTGTTATGATTGAGTGTTAGTTTTTGAGGTGAAGTGTTTGTTTAACTCTTTTGAGTTTCTGTTGGATATGTAATCCAAGTGCTTTTTGTTCAATTACTGACCACTTCATTACTCAATATATGCAAAAGTGCATAAATTCTTTGAAATGTAAATTCTTTTTTCTGGATTCATTCATTCATTTACTTCACTATGAGCCTGGTGTGCTCAACAATCAACAAATAAACTACACCTTCTAGCTTTTCTGTTTAGGATGTTATGTAGAATTCTAGTCTCCCTGCCCGGAGTTTTTGCGTATGCGGCTTTAATTAAGCACTGTTTTTTTCCCTCTAGAGCTCTCTTGAATTGAGTCAGAAAAATCAGCATCTTCCAATTGCATTTTTTTTATCTTCTTTCCTTTTGAGATTCAATATTAGTTCCTTGGTATTCAAAGAGTTTCATGGAAGAAACATTTGTTCCTTTTCGCGGAATTAAGAATGATTTCAAAGCAAGAATTATGTGCTACAAACAAGATTGGACTAGTGGATTCCGCGCAGGTGCAAGGTTTGTGATATAACTAAGAACTTGCTTTTTTTTTTTGTCGAAACATTATAATGAGAGTTTGTGAATGATTTAATTTTGTTGTTTTATATATAGGATCCTTGCACCAACTACATACATATTTTTTGCTTCTGCAATTCCTGTTATTTCTTTTGGGGAGCAACTCGAGAGAACTACTGGTAAACAAATATTTTTCATGTTTAGTCTCTTGGTAGAACATTATGGCGAAAGTTGATTCATGTAGCTGACCCCACCTAGTGGGATAAGGCTTAGTTGTTGTAGTCTCTTGGTGTTTGTTTATGTCATATTATATGCTAAGAAGTTATATTATACAGATGGAACTCTCACTGCTGTGCAGACTCTTGCATCAACTGCTCTATGTGGTATTGTCCACTCGGTTATTGGAGGGCAACCTCTCCTCATACTAGGTGTAGCCGAGCCAACCGTTCTGATGTATACATTCATGTACAATTTCGCAAAGGATCGTGAGGATTTAGGACACAAATTGTTCTTGCCTTGGACTGGATGGTATCTTTGGAAATCCTTGCCCGGTTTATTTTTATAAGGGAAGTACTAATGAGCTGAAGTAACTTTCTCGATATTTTTTTTACAATTAATGCTTTAGGGTGTGCGTTTGGACTGCACTGTTGCTGTTCTTGCTGGCTATTCTTGGTGCATGCTCCATAATCAACCGGTTCACGCGCCTTACCGGTGAACTATTTGGTCTGTTAATTGCAATGCTCTTTATGCAGCAGGCTATAAAGGTATCTTTAGTAATCTGTAACTTCTTTATGCGGTTACGAAATAGGAACCTTCAGTTAACAGTTATACCTATAATGAAACTAGTATTTGATAAGAAGGTTAATAATCTCCATTTTAAAGGGACTTGTGGAAGAGTTTGGTGTACCAAAGACACAGACAGAAGGTACCAATCAAATTGCACTTCAATCCTCTTGGCTGTTTGGCAATGGAATGTTTGCTTTAGTTTTGTCGTTCGGCCTTCTTTTTACCGGTCTGGGAAGCCGCAAGGCTAGATCCTGGCGATACGGGACAGGTACTTACTATGCTTTAGATTGTGAGATTAAGGTAAATTAATGGTTCAATCAACATTCTCACTTTTCTACTAAACCAATTTGTTGTATATTATAGGTTGGCTACGAGGACTTATAGCTGATTACGGAGTCCCCTTAATGATTCTCGTATGGACTGCTGTATCTTACATACCTGTTAACAAAGTCCCAAGGGGAATCCCGAGGCGGCTTTTCAGTCCAAATCCATGGTCTCCTGGTGCATACTCAAATTGGACTGTTGTAAAGGTGATTTTGATTATGCATTGTGGATAATATTTTTTTATCAGTAGAAGTCGAACTCGGTACTATTGATAATAATCTTTGTTGCTAATTGTTTGTTACATTTTGCAGGAAATGTTGAACGTACCTCTATTGTACATCATTGGAGCATTTATACCAGCAACTATGATTGCCGTGCTTTACTACTTTGATCACAGTGTTGCATCACAACTTGCGCAGCAAAAAGAGTTCAATCTAAGGAAACCTTCATCTTATCATTATGACTTACTACTCCTTGGATTTTTGGTATGTTTTGAAATACTTGGAAATCCATTGTAATGGAAGTTAATGAAAACAAATAACCTATTTCTACTTTCTACTCCATCTTGTCAATATTTTTGCATTTCAAATTCTTGTCAATTTTACTTTCCAGACCTTATTCTGCGGGCTTATAGGAATCCCTCCTTCCAACGGTGTGATTCCGCAATCTCCAATGCATACCAAGAGCTTAGCTACTCTAAAACATCAGGTAATTAACATATTTCTTATTGACCATTGAACTAAGCTAATTGAATATTATGAATATTTGTTTTGTTTGGAATAGATTTTACGGCATAAGCTCGTCTCTACTGCACGAACGAGCATGGAGAAAAACATGAACCTGAGTCAGTTTTACGAAAGTATGAGAGAAGCATATGACGTAATGCAGACACCATTGGTTTCCCAAATGCCACCCACATTGGTAAACATGATCCTATGATTTCCAATTGATCTTAAATTTGCAATCATCTTTTTTGCTTTACCCTTGGTTTTGTTCATCGATCAGGGGCTTAAAGAGTTGAAGGAGTCTACCGTTGCATTGGCTTCAAGTCATGGATACATTGATGCTCCTGTTGATGAAATCGTCTTTGATGTGAATAAGGATGTTGATGACCTTATGCCAGTCGAAGTTAAAGAGCAGCGCCTCAGCAATCTATTGCAGGCATCAATGGTTGCGGCTTGTGTTGCCGCTATGCCTCTTTTGAAGAAGATACCAACTTCAGTGCTTTGGGGTTACTTTGCCTTCATGGCTATTGAAAGCTTGCCAGGAAATCAATTTTGGGAGAGAATATTGTACCTTTTCACTGCTCCAAGTCGAAGATACAAGTAAGTATATTTTCGCTAGCTTGTGAGTATTAGCGTTCTATTTTACGAGATTGATGCTTTTCTCTTTTCCTTTCTAGACTGCTGGAGGAACACCATGCAACTTTTGTTGAGACTGTGCCTTTGAAAGCAATTGCTCTGTTTACTCTGTTCCAGACAGCTTACTTGCTTCTCTGCTTCGGCATAACCTGGATACCAATCGCTGGGGTCCTCTTCCCATTGTTAATCATGCTTCTTGTCCCGGTTCGGCAATATTTTCTTCCCCATTTTTTCAAAGGAGCCCATCTTCAAGAGTTGGACGCCGCATCATACGAGGAAGCACCTGCCATTACTTTCAACATGTCCTTTGATGTAAGAGGTTTTGAATCATTTTAGTTTGTCGATTCTTGTTCATAGTTTTAATGTCTATATACCTTTCAGGATCTAAGTAACCACGGAACAACGGCCAATGTCAGTGGTGGAGAAATTCTTGATGAGATTATCACGAGGAGTCGCGGAGAGATACGTCGCACTCAAAGCTCTAAAGCATCTAGTTCATCTGCAACACCAATAGGAGGAGATATAAGACCTGCTAATAGCCCACAAATACCGCGAATGATTCCCAGCCCTCGAGTAACCGCATTGAGAGGGGAAAGCAGCAGCGTAGGATCAAACGGAAAGGAGTTAAAGTTAAAGCAAATTCCTTGAAAAATATCCAAATGATTCAACTTCAAAAGTTAAAGCAAATTCCTTGAAAAATATCCAAATGATTCAACTTCAAAGCTAAAATGTATCTTTAACAGACTATAGTAGTACTAAGTGATGCTAAAATGCATTTTAACATATTATAGTAATACTAAGTGATACTAAAATGTATCTTTAACAGATTATAGTAGTAGTACTAAGTGATGCTCTATAGGTTTTTTTTTTTTTTTAAAACAACAAAACATCAACATCTTGATGTCTTTCTTTGTTTCGTTTTGAACCTTACAATATATAAAATGGGGAGAAATATTTTCAAGATGATGGAGTGATGCTATTGATGAATGTTTGTTATGTTGCTACTTTTGGATTTTAGTTTTATGTTGCTTAGCTGATATTTTTTTAAATATACATGAAGAGATTATGAGACATGATACACTTTCTTTGAAGTGTGTTTGGTCAAAAAGTAACATATATGAAATAAAAAACACATTTTTAAATGTATAGTAGTTACCTAATGGTATGTTTGGTTTTGAGGAAAGATATGAGGAAGGAAAGAAAGTGAGTGGAGAGATCCATGTTCCACCGTTTGGCAACACTATAAAAGGAAAGGAAGGAAAGATTTAAATATTGCAATGTAGTATTATTTATTCAAAACGGCAACACATATCAATGTAATGCACTGATAAACTTGTATTAAGATATACTAGGATGAGACCCGCACGATGTGTGACACATTGATGAATTTTTTAATAGATTTGTATTAAGATATATTAGATTGGAACTCGCACAATACATGGCACAATACTAGATTATATATATTGTTGTACCCTAATTTTTGACCTAAGATTCCACTATCTTTTGCATTATTTACATAGCATCATGAGTTCACATAATTCATCTTTGTATCACTAACCTCATAAAAAAGTACAAAAGTTTACTTTGTTTGTTTGTTTCTTACACAAGATAGGTGTGTTGGATCAAAGAGCTCAAGAGATTGATCAATCAAGAATTAGGGTTTTGAAGGTTGAGCTACAATATACATCACTCAAGAGGCTCTCAATATCACCATCTCATAATTCTCAAGATGTCTCAATGTATTAAAGATTACATCATGATCACAAGGTTCCATTGGAATTGGAAGATTTGAATTCATTTGGAAAAATCAACGGCTCAAAATCAAATTTTGACTTTTTAGATTTTTAGTCAAATTTGGATTTCTCAAATTAAATTTCATCAAAATTTGGTTGATATTTGAATTTGTACAAGTGAAATCACAAAAATTGAGATAACTTGCAAATAGGGTAAAGTTGAAGAAAGTGAAAATTTCTCCAAGTGTCAAAAATATCATGTTCAAGTGCATGACTTCTCAAGCTTGTAACTTCTTCCTCAAGTCATCATTTTTCATGCCCAAGGAATAAACTTAAAGATGGTCATGCATACTTCAACATTGTAGAAGGAATTGACTCAAAGGCTCCTAAGGATTGAGAGATATGAAGTGTCGAAGTTGAGGTCTCAAAGTTGTCAAAATGCCAAAGACTTAGAAAAATTCTCTAAGTGTTTTTCAGCTTAAAACTCTAATTTGGTTGGCCAGTTTTCTTATTGATTCAAGATAATTAAAGCCAAGTGATAAACATGAAAGTTGTAGAGGGTGCTCTCATATTTCCAATGGTACCAAGAGTATGACTTTCTTTTACTTGAGCAAAGAGTTTTGAAGAGATGAAGTAGCCATGGTAAAGATGTTTTACAAGTCATATTTTGGTTCAAATTCATGTCAAACCGAACCAAATCCCATGCGATCTTTCTTGACAACTATGTTGCTTCTAAATCTCTGCATAATGGTTGTTTTACACAAATCCTAAGTGTATTACACAAATTGTTTGATTCATTGTCCAAATTTCATGTCACTTTGAGAGCATTTTGCCAAAAGTTACATATCCATTTACATAAAGCATGTCTTTTCTTACCAAATCTTTCTTTAAGACCATACTTTTTTCTATAATCAAGCATGCTAAGAAGCAACATCCTATTATGCAGAAAAGTGAACCTATTGTCCATAAATCAAGCATTGTTTCATCTTGGAGTCACCATGTTCATGTAACTTCCACTTGCATTTTAACCAAACCATTAACTTGTAAACTTGAAATTTGATCAGCTCTCATTCTCTCAACTTTATCTATAAATAGATAGCCTCATTTCATTGTAAAACACATACATTGACAAATAAATCCTCTCTTAAACCCATGGAGAAATCACAAAGTTCCATTGTTGCACCAAAAAACCTTAAGCTCGGTTTCCTCAATCCTTGCAAGTTCAACTTAAAATTTCTATTGAAACACAATCAATATATCATAAGTGAGCTACTGTAGGTATTTGTTTTGAGCCTCAACCTTGAGGGCGTGAGTTCAACACCCCTTGACCACAAAACTTTCTTTCTTACAATTTACAACTTGTTTCTTTTATTCTTTTTCTATTTCTATTTCTTTTTATTGTTTTCTTTTGTTTTAATTTAACTTATTTATTTTCTCTTTCAATTTTATTTTTATCAACCTTAACGTCTAAAAACACCAAAAACCATTTTATTTATTCAAGCCTTGTCTTTTTTATTTATTTTAATATGTTAATTAATTAATAAAAATGCAAAAATAGTTATTGCTTAAATTGTCTTGATGTTTATCTTATTAAACTTTTTATTATTAATTTCTTCAATGATTCTTAATAATATGATGCTTTAAAATGTTTGTTTGAATATAATATTATTTCTTAAGGTATATATCCTGATTAAATATTTATTTTAAGTGTTTGTCTAAGTTTATTGTTTGATCTTTGAAAAGAAACTTTGATGTTTAGTACATGCATGATTAGGTTTTCTACATAATATTGTTCTCTTTGAACTTTGATGTCTTGATTCAATCATGTTTAAATGTCTTAATTATGTGACTTTCTTTAATTGATGTTTTTGATATGTTTTAATATTTCTTTCATAAACTCCCATTTTATAAAACATTCTTGACTTTCTTTTAGGGTTTAGGGTTGGACTTGTCTTAACAAGATCATATTTCTCATTCTTGACTTTTATTCATGTTGATTCTTCTTTAGAGTTGTACTTTATTCTCACCATGTTTATATGATTCTTGATATGTCTTAGATGTTTGTTGATTGACTTTGACTTTACTTTCCCCATGTTTGTGATACTTCACTTGATTCCACCTTTGATTATTCCATCACTTATCTTTGATGTTCACACTTGATATACTTTGATCTTTGTCTTTACCATATAATTTGTACGCTTTGATATTTGATTGTTCACATGATTATATATTTGTGATTAATTGTTTTCTTTGAGTATTTTCTCATGAAACCTCTCACCCTTGTGATTTGATCTCAAGCTTACACCATGATATGTTGCCTTCTTTGTTTGATCCTCACTTGATATATGTTTGTCTTGTGATTGAACCTTTGCCTTTATGCCTAAGTTGTGACTTGTTTATAAGTGATGTTTAATCTTTGGCTATTATCTTTGTGATACTTGTGCCTAATCCAAGGGGAAGAATTATTTTGTTGACTTTATGTTAATGTGTGTCTCTTGCATACTAGTATGTTTCGTTCCTCTTGTTTATCTTTAAACCCTAATTTTAAGACTTTCAGCTCTTTCATATAAAAACCTTGACTTTATATCATTTCATTTTTAAATTTTCTTTCTTTAATAAATGCTTCAATATACTTAAGCATATTAGACAATATCAAAAGACTAAAACATTCAAAACTCATTCAAACCATTTACCACTCTGGCTTTTTCCTTTTAAATTTTTTTAACTTAAAATCAAACATAACAAACCCTTTTGTTATTTTTACCAGGAACTACGAGGTTTTGACCCTTCATTGGTACGTAGGTATAAAACTTTATGTCTTTCCAAATTAAATTATAATAAAATATATTTGTTTTCTCATCTCCAAATTCTTTAGCAAACAAACCAATTTTAACAAAAAACAGATATTACAAGAGGTTCCTATAGAGTTCTATAGATACATAGGGTGCTAATACTTTCCCTTTGTATAACCAACCCTTGTACCTTAAATCTCTTCTTTATGCTTTGCTTTTCATTTTTTCTTATTGCATTGCATGTTTAATATAGGGTTTTGATATTATCCCTTTTCCATAGAAACAATAAATTTTGGTGGTGACTTCTTAAATTTATGAGTCAAGTTAGTAAATAGTTTGGTCTCCCAATTTTTTACCGCGAAAGAAATGGCGACTTCACTGGGGATCTTCCTCAAGTGGGTTAACCCTAATTTGTATTATCTGTTTTTGTTATTATTGTTTGCTGTAAATATTTTCTAGTTCTTTGGGTGTTTGGTGATCTTTGCATGGACAAGTCCCACACCTGGACTAAGTTACACTTAAGATAATATGGTGGTATAATCAAGAGTTATATGACTGGAGTAATGCTGAATGTAAGAAGCATATGATATAACCTCACTAAGTGGAGGCCTCTTTAAGGGTAATAGTGCTAAACAGGATAATTGTAAAGCATTGTTACTTTCGATCTGATAGCCTAGAACCGTAGAACCTTTAACCCATCTCTGCCTTTAGGATATATTGCAATGACAAATCAAAAGTAGTCTTGTATTAGTTGTTATGTGATACTACAATCAAATGAGTTTTTTTTGAGAATATTATTGGTACTCACAAGTAGTTGTGTAAACTCGTAATATCCAAAAGAAGAATCACGACTCTGGGAACTTTTTTTAGATCCTTATTGTAAAGGTTAAACCCTTCGTACATACCTTTTGGGTTGGTTCTTACCCATGACTCCATGCTCGAGACATTTAACCCTTGAATCTTGGACCTTGTTTATCATTGTTGCATAACTATGCATTCATGCATTCATGAAACTCTTTTTTTCACTTGGTTTTCAAGGAACACAGATTCTCATTGCAAACATCATAGGTTTTATGATCATGGATATCAGAAAGAGGAACACTAAGAAGTACAATTTCAAGAA